ATTGAAACAGATCAGCAGCAACATGAAACAGATCAGCAGCAACATGAAACAGATCAGCAGCAACATGATATGGTTTTTCACAGTGATTATTCTAGTTAGAGATTCATGAGTCTAACAGCCTCAGGGTAGAAGCTGTTCCTCAGTCTAGTGGTTCTACACTTAATGCTCCTCAACCTCCTTCCTGAGGGGAGTGGGGCAAAAAGTGTGTGTGCTGGGTGGGTGGGGTCCTTCATGATGCAGGTGGTCCTCTTCCTGCATCTGGAGGTGTAGATGTCTGTGATGGTGGGGAGACTGATTCCAACATCTTCTGTGCAGCCTTCACCACTCTCTGCAAAGCTTTTCTTTCTGCAGCTGTGCAGCCTCCATGCCACACATTGATGCTGGAGCACAGGATGCTCTCCACTGCACACCTGTAGAAGGAGGTGAGGACTGAGCTTCCAGACCAGCTCGCCTCAGCCGCCTGAGGAAGTAGAGTCTCTGATGAGCTTTCTTCATCAGGCTGGTGGTGTTGTTGCTCCAGCTGAGGTTGTCATTCAGGTGTACACCCAAGTACTTGTAGCTGGAGACCACTTCCACCGCAGATCCTCTTATGTTCAGGGGGGTGTAGGTGTTTTTGTTCCTTCTGAAGTCCACAATCATCTCCTTCATCTTCTTCACATTGATGTGAAGGTTATTCTCTCTGCACCAGCTCTCCAGGTGTTCCACCTCCTGCCTGTAGCTGGACTCATCATTGTTTGTGATGCATCCCACCACCGCTGTATCATCTGCAAACTTTACAACCCAGTTTTACTTGCAAGGGGTGCAGAATTGAAAACAGGCTTGCACAGAGGGCACGTGAAGCGCTGCCCACACGGTCTGCCCACAGACGTCACGCTTATCAGACAGAGAGACGTGAACGTGGCCTCTGCTTCACAGCTCACAGATCTGAAGGTGTCAGAAGTTATCACTTATCAGACTCCTCTTCGAGTACACCCAGAAAGACTGTCTTGACTTCACATGCATGGTTCTATATTAGTTTAACATTAGTACACTTCCTGTACACTGTTTGTGTGGGGGTTGCTCAGTATGGGATTGGGGGCTCGTTGTTACGGGCTGTTCAATCCCTGTACAAGCGGTGCAAAAGTTTGGTTCTCAGTGCAGGTAGTAAGGTGGACCCTTCAGGGTGGGAGTTGGACCTCCAGGGCTGCCTGTTGTCACAGATTCTGTTCAGAACTTTTATGGACAGTTTGTCTTGGTGCAGCCAGGGGGAGGAGGGTTTTCAGTTCGGTGGCCTCAGAATTCATCTCTGCTCTTTGCAGATGATGTGGTCCTGTTGGCGTCATCGTGCCGTGATCTTCAGCTCTCACTGGACCGGTTCACAGCCGAGTGTGAAGAGGCTGGGATAAGAACCAGCACCTCCAAATCTGAGGCCATGGTCCTGTTGTGGCTTTCTGCCACACTCGTGTTCAAAACAGCTGAGACGGTCACCTTAGTTCAAAAGATTTATTTGACAAACAGGACTTACAGATATTCAGAGACAAACAATTACATTTGTAAAATATATGCATATATTTGGAGCATTAAAGAACGAACCGTCTCGGTCTGCGCTTCCCCGGAAATGCTCGCTGGGCGTGTGTTATTTTCGGCTTTTATAAAAGTTTGAGAAGGCTAGTCCTCTGATTGGTTTAGACCCGTTTACTATGGTTACTGGTCTAGCCCGCCCCCTCTTACTGCATTCCAGAGATAAGATATGGAAGCTTCAAAAAGCGTTCAATACAAAAACAACTGGACTTTATTTGTAACAGAAGACGTTTCGCTCCTCATCCGAG